TGTGCGCAAGTAGCTTTTATAGTCTGGAGAGGAGCCTAATGACCATCAGCTGAGCGCAATTACCTCCTGTAATTGCGTAATTGCTCCTGACACGAGAAGCTCTTTGATGGCATGCATCCAGGAACAACTCACTGCTGGTTTCTGAATCACTCTCCCTTGTCTCCTCCCCACTGGTCCAAGACTCAGGTGCCACCTGGTGGCCAATCGGTCTCTCTGCGCCCTGCTCGGAGTCGGAATCCTGTCCAGGGTCCTCTACCTCCTCCAGAGCCAACTCAGAGGGCCCCTTGCTGTTGGAGTCTGGTGGCAGCTCCAACGGCACCTGCTGGGCCACAACAGGCGGCAATATAAATTTCCTAAATAAATAACAACACCCCACAACAACAATCCTGTGAGGTGGAGATGTTTCTTGCCCGTCTTATTCTCAAATATTTCCTTGATTTCATTCAATTGTTATGAGGCGAAATGATTTAAGTCAGAGGTTTTACATCTTGGTAGTAACAAGGTGGCGTAGATAATTTCAAAACTCGTTTAATGGTAGTAAGAGCTATCTGATTGTAATAATCAGGAGCATATACTACATTTTGAGTTACACAACCCATACCGCCCGTTCAGCGCAGATTTCTCTCTGCTTGGAAAAGCAACTACGCGATTCTGATGCACTTTTTGGTTTTCTGCTAATGGTTATATAAAGACACCTAGGATACTCTTTAAAAATTAATGCTCCATGAAAGCACTGTTTGCTAGTAAATAACTGAAAAATGTACTGTATGTGCTGTACAAGAACAAATAATCTGTATTAATCTTACGCATACTGTAATTTCCCCAAAATCAAAAATAAGTGGATTTTACCGCCTCAAGCCAGTGCTGGCGAACCTTTTCGGCACCGAGTGTGTCTTGGGTACGTTCTGTAAATTAGCCCATTGGTGGAACCTTGGTTTAAAAATGACTTATTTATTTGTTCTTCAAATTTATTTGCTGCCCATCTCGCAGTTCAGGCGAAAAAATGTTGTCTTATGATGTGCCACTTTGCAGAGTTAGAGGTTGTAGGCGCAAAGATTTTTCATAGTTTAGAGATAATACTCGAAGTTGAAAGCTTATGGCATAAACCGGCAGGGATGGTTGCAGTGGATATCGGCATACTGTGTGCCGTACCAAAAAGTCTTGGATGACACTTAGAAAATCTGTGAGTTGACACAGTTTCCATCTGTCAATTACAAAAGGCCTCAGTGCTTGAATCTGCCTTACCCGGATACATTCGATACTTGGGAAGATCTTGATGCAAATGAAAACCAACACCTGCTAAGGAACTGGCAGCTGTGATGTCACATTGTTGTGTATGTAAGGATAATACCACATTTAGATACAGGTAGCGCTTTACGTAAGACCACAATTGAGCTCAGAATTCGATAGCTAAGCAAGACAGTTGTGAAGTGAGTTTTGCCCTATTTTGCCACCTTTCTTGCCATAGTTGTTAAGAAAATCACTGCAGTTGTTAAGTTAGTAACACGGTTGTTAAGTGAATCTGGCTTCCCCATTGACTTTGTTTGTCAGAAGGTCACAAAAGGTGATCACGTGACTTTAAGGTTTCCTTAAAAAGCAAGAAGCTGAGTCTTTGTCCCTGCAAAACCCTCTTTTATTGACACGACTGTCAATTCCTTTCATTCACAGTCAGCAAGGCTTGGCAAACAGTCTTTCAGAGGAATATTTATCAACACGAACCTTATCTCGCTTGGCGATCTGCCAGATAACTAGTTTCCAAATGCAGGGCAAGGCGAAACCTGGCACAGAGTCTCTCATCGTCACAAACAGAACTTTCCACTCTTGAAACAACAGAAGGAACGAATTGTTTCCTGCAAAAGCCCCCCGTCCACTCCTCTTTTGTTTTCTATGGGAGGGGCCAATCCCCTCCAAGGTGTAGCTGTACTCCTAAGTCGCCCCTTCTTTCTTAGTTGTTCTTGTCTTCTGGCAGCTCTGCGCATGCGCACACTGGGGACAGGCTCCAGCTGGTCCTCTGCCTCGCTGCTGTCTAGCTCCCTCTCTGCCTCCAACGCAGAGCCCTCGTCTGAGCTTTCCTCAGCCCCCATGGCTGGCCCATGCCTCCTCCCCAGCCTCCTCACTGTCCGACTCTGCTGCCAGCTCCACTGGCTGCTGGCGGGGCACAACAGTGACCCCGGGACACTGCAAGTGTCATAAATACATGCTAATTGTCAGAATTTTGATCATGCGTCCATGGGGATGCTGCAGTGGTCATAAGTGAAAAATGGCCATGCCACTTTTTTCCCAGTACCATCGTAACTTTACGGTTGCTAAACAATTGGTTGTAAGTCAAGGACTACCTGTGTTCTTTTTGCAAGGTTTGGGGTAGAACAAAGTTAGAGCCCAACAAGGTAGAAAGTTGATATATGGGAGATGATTGTCCTGCAGTGCCTTGAATTTTGATTGGCAGAGGGTTTTCTCTGAGGACCCGGATTGTTGTTGGGGGCAATATGCTGACTCTGTAAACCGCTTAGAGAGGGCTGAAAGCCCTATGAAGCGGTATATAAGTCTAACTGCTATTGCTATTGCTATTCTCCCCGCCCCTCCAATTAATAGTTGTTGATGAGATGCCCAGGGTTTTGAGGTCGTGGCT